GGAACCAAACAGTACTACGATATATATAATAAGCAAATTTGTGTAAATTTAATTTTCTTGCTCAAGACAATAATGGTATGTCCAGGACATGGTTTGAACTTCTGATCCAGCAATCATTAAGGTTACTAGTCTGACATGTTTACACATGACCATGTCCATATCAAATATACTGGTGTATTGAAAATTAATTAACAATTTTGCTCATGCTATATAATGTGATATCATAATAATTATATGAATAGTGATAATTAACCAATCAGAAATCAGGGTTAAATTTTGTGTATAATATGAAATTTATCACATTCCTTATTCATTTATTAAAAAAATTCAATAAATGTGCATTATTTTGTACCTGGATTGCAGAGAGAAATTTCCATTAAAAAAAAAACAATTAATTTATTAGATGTATAAACATAATCTTCACAATTATATATGTAATATTATATACATAATATGTTTCTACATAATATGCTACTCTTTGTCAAGGATATACTATTACAGTAAAGAAAAGAAAGATAAATGTAGTTGATATAAAAACAATTTATGAACAAATATTCATATATATTTTTAAATCTATAAAACCATATTTTAAAACTGAGCATATGCAGCAGAGATGACATAAATTCTGCAACATCATAACAAATCCCACTCGTAAACAATATGTTATTCATTCAATTTAGTCACATTTTTGCACGAGATATAAGCAGTCATTATATAGCAAATTATAGCAAATTAAGAAGAGGTATTTCACAAATATCACAAAGAAGTCAAATATATTATCTTGTAATACAAGACTCACAATGTAGTCAAATATCTTAAGAGTAATACTAGACTGACACTATAATTTACCCTTGTTGATCCCAAGATTATCATTGTATAAATTAACCATGTCATTTACTTTAAGTTATTTTAAAACTTGACTAGTTTTATAATTAACCCCTCTTGACTCTTGATTTATCATATAACAAAAACCGTTCTATAATTTACATATCTTGGTCCTCAAATTACCACAAAGCAAGACCGGTTCTAAAGTTTAACCCGTCTTGTTCCCTGAATTATCATAAAACAAGACTGGTTCTATAGTTTACCTATCTTGTTCCCTAAATTATCATAAATCAAGACTGGTTCTATAATTTACCTGTCTAGTACCCTCTTCTTCGCCTTCTAAAGGTTGGCTATGAATAACAGTTCTGCCCCCTGGTGGCTGTTCTGGGAATATGTTCCTGACATCTATTTTTGTTGTGTATTTTTGTTTCTTTCTCAGTGTAGCATTTAGAGTATCTACACGTCTTTTAACCACGGCAGCATGGTTGCTAGGCATGGATTCTGTGAACTTGTTGATCTCATCCTCAGAAAACTCCTTACCGGCTGTATTACACAATAAAGTAAAATAAAATATAACAAGTTTAAAAGAAAGCATTCAGTAAAACTTAACTAAAAGTACATTCTTTTTCAGCATATTCATTTTTTTTTGCGTAAAACGAGTCCTGCAAGCATTGTAGATGTTTATGTGAATATTAGTTATGTATATATTATAGCTGTTTGTCATCCATCTCAAATACTTATTTGCTTTTTTCATAAACTAATGTCAATACATATTGGTTCTCAAGACATATTATATAAACAGGAATTCTGATAAAAAATAATAAAGCTCTTTTTAAAAAAAAATTGAGATCTGATAGTTGATAGAAAGAATGTTTTTATATTTACTATATCCCACCCAAATACACTGTTCATGAGAATAATAACAGTATCATCTTGTAAAGGCCTTTCTAAATAATATAATAAATCTATAATAAGTCATAAATCTAAAATAGGTCAAAAACATTCAGAATAAAGCTATTTCAATATTGCTTTAGAAATGAATTTGTCATGTCAGACAAACCAGGGTTAATTAATATCATAAAGTACCTTAAACTGGGTGGAACCTATTAATTAACTATTTGACTTGTCTGACCAACAATAATATTAACTTTACAATCAGACTTTCATTTTACAGTGCCTCACAACCAACATCTTTATTATATCAATCAAATAGTTATAAGAAACAACTTGCATCATTACTAACTAGAAATTAGTAAATGACATCTTTTGTTATCTTACAATTCCTTATAACTGGACCGTTTAAAAGCAGAGCAGTTCACCATTTAACAGTTCTTTGAGCCTTCGCTGGCGACTTAATTTCTACCCATTTGAGTGCAAACAAAGATCAGCCAGCATGTCCACACCCTCTGATTATTGTTTGCACCGTTCACTTTTTACAAAAAGTATATAATTATTTCTTGAATTTTGTCTAAAAAACATAGTTTGCCCAAACTGAAAGATGGTTCTGTCTGTTCAGATAAAGGGCAAAGGTACACAGATATATTAAGAGGCAACTAAATTATTATGGTTCTATGAGAATGAATATACTACATGTGTATCAAAAGCATTATTCCCTGCGGTCTGGAGACCGCAGGGTATTGGTACGCGTTTAACTTTTGAGGCATGGAGGAGCACGTGACCTGTTTTCGGTACATGGAGGAGCATGTGATCTGTAAACCGTACATGATTGGTTAATTGACCTTTTCGAAAACCTAGCTAAATACCGTTTGCCGATACGTTACGGATTTACCTCTAGGGAATTAGTCCGAACTACACCTAATTAAGAACAAAAAACTATTACGTGATATTTCTAATTTTCTATAATTATTTTACCGTTTAGGTTGCAAAAACTTGAATGATGTGTTTGAAAATTATCAATGTTTCTTTAAAATCTATCTCAAATTTTACAAATACTGAAAATCTACAAAATTAAAATATTCGTAGTGGCATCTGCCATAATAAATAGAGATATTTTCTGCGTAAACTTGTGTGTTTACTTTATTTTTTTTTGCTCGGAATTGTTCATAAAATGGTAGGCCTATTTAATCATTTTCTTAAAAAGAAATAATTGTTTTATCTTCGGCCTTCTCCGGTCTTCAACGGTCACCACTTTCCAAAGACCTTCTTCTATATTGATCGATTATTGTTAACTATATTCCTGATACAAACGTTTATCTTTATATCATTAAAAATGTTCCCCGCAGGAAACCATTTTACTTGTAAATACTACTTACCTTGATACTTGGAAACAATGAATCCATAGCCAGCTTCTTGTAACCATTCTGCTTCCTGCTCTCCTTCTGTAATCATAGTTACAATATAATTAATGTTTCCATAGAAACAGTTTAAACAACAAACTGAAACAATATTATTTTAATTTTTTTACATACTTGAGTTTCATTGTACCACCAAAGTAGCAATTATCTCAAAAGTTTGATTGTACAGCTTTAAAAGTATCTCCATAATAATAATAACAAGATATGTTTGTAAAACATGTATGCCCCCTGTCGGAAGCCAATTAGTCATGTGATCAGGTTATTATGCTTGACTTCTGACCCAGTGAACAAACAATTAATAAGGGTTATCTAGTATCTACTGGTCATGACTAGTCACAAGGTAATAATTATTGTGACACTATAGGTTGTGTGCAGCAATTTAAGTTATTACAAATCTTACCAAATAATATATGCATAAATTTTATGAATCATGTAGGCCTCATTAATGACAACCAAGTTGTTGACCCCTTGACCCCAAAATCAATAGGTCATCTGCTGGCAATGACCAATCATCATACCAAGTATGAAGTTTCTAGGCCTTAGCGTTCTTAAGTTATTGATTGGAAACCGTTTTTACCTACAAGGTCAATGTGACCTTGACCTTTGACCCCTTGACCCCAAAATCAATAGGAGTCATCTGCTGGTCATGACCAATCATCATACAAAGTTTGAAGTTCCTAGGCCTAAGGGTTCTTTAGTTAATTGATCGGAAACTGTTTTTACCTACAGGGTCAATGTGACCTTGACCTTTGACCCCTTGACCCCAAAATCAATAGGGGTCATCTGCTGGTCATGACCAATCACCATACCAAGTTTGAAGTTCCTAGGCCTAAGGGTTCTTTAGTTATTGATCGGTAACCGTTTTTGCTTACAAAGTCAATGTGACCTTGACCTTTGACCCCTTGACCCCAAAATCAGTTGGGGTCATCTACTGATCATGACCAATCACCATACCAACTTTGAAGTTCCTAGGCCTAAGGGTTCTTTAGTTATTGATCGGAAACCGTTTTTGCTTACAGGGTCAATGTGACCTTGACCTTTGACCCCTTGACCCCAAAATCAATAGGGGTCATCTACTGATCATGACCAATCACCATACCAACTTTGAAGTTCCTAGGCCTAAGGGTTCTTTAGTTATTGATCGGAAACCGTTTTTGCTTACAGGGTCAATGTGACCTTGACCTTTGACCCCAAAATCAATAGGGGTCATCTACTGATCATGACCAATCACCATACCAAGTTTGAAGTTCCTAGGCCTAAGGGTTCTTTAGTTATTGATCGGAAACCGTTTTTGCTTACAAGGTCAATGTGACCTTGACCTTTGACCCCTTGACCCCAAAATCAATAGGGGTCATCTACTGATCATGACCAATCACAATACCAAGTTTGAAGTTCCTAGGCCTAAGGGTTCTTTAGTTATTGATCGGAAACCGTGTTTGCTTACAAGGTCAATGTGACCTTGACCTTTGACCCCTTGACCCCAAAATCAATAGGGGTCATCTACTGATCATGACCAATCACCATACCAAGTTTGAAGTTCCTAGGCCTAAGGGTTCTTTAGTTATTGATCGGAAACCGTTTTTGCTTACAAGGTCAATGTGACCTTGACCTTTGACCCCTTGACCCCAAAATCAATAGGGGTCATCTACTGATCATGACCAATCACCATACCAAGTTTGAAGTTCCTAGGCCTAAGGGTTCTTTAGTTATTGATCGGAAACCGTTTTTGCTTACAAGGTCAATGTGACCTTGACCTTTGACCCCTTGACCCCAAAATCAATAGGGGTCATCTACTGATCATGACCAATCACCATACCAAGTTTGAAGTTCCTAGGCCTAAGGGTTCTTCAGTTATCACTCGGAAACCATTTGGTCTACGGACCGACGGACCGACAAGTGCAAAGCAATATACCCCCTCTTCTTCGAAGTGGGGGCATAATAATAATAATAACAATAATAATAATAATGTACTAATTGTTTCCATAGAAACAATGTAAAAACAATGTAAATGTATAACCACAGTAACAATGCAATAAATGTTTCCATAGGAATTGAAGACATAAAATTATCATTATTAAAACCATGAAATTTATACATGTTTCCATGTAAACAAGTTGAGGGATTACATCACCATAGTGGTTAAGGTTGTTGACTCCCAAGCACTTGCCCCTTAACCGCCAGGGTTTCTACTAGAAATTTTTATTTAAGAGTCCCAGGGACTCGTGCTCATAAAATATGAGGGTCCCAGAGAAAAATATGAGGGTCCTAATCATTTATTACTTTAAAGTAAGGTATTACTTATATATATTGTCTAGTTTATATACATTGTTCAACTACATATGCATTTTTATTGACCTTGTTAAATAAAATAAAAAATATAAACCATTTATTATTTATTGTTACTTTTTATTTTTTCATTTCTTTCATTTGGCTGAATGTTTGTGCAACTTGCATAAAGTCAAGATCTTTCACATCTGGTCCGACTAATTTTATCAATTGTTTAACTGCATATACGTCTTGATGACGGACAAATGTATCTACTATTTTGGAAGTTCAAACATCCATTTTCCGAGGCAAATGGATTACATTTTTTGGTTGAGACGCAATGGCTGCATTTCATATCCGTGGTCGTCTCGTTTTGGACGAGCCACGGGTAAGTTAACTTAGCCACTTTTCATTAAAATTGGGGGAGCAGCCGACATGTTTTACGATTTATTTTATAACAAAAAACGCATAGACTGGGACGCTTTTTTAAGGTCGACTAAATTCTAGTGTGCACTGTTTTATTCCGTATTAAACTGTAATTAATTGAAAGAAAGATAACTCTGCTGTATTCAATATTAGAACCCGTCTACCAAATAATGTCATTTCCTTTAAAGAAGCGGAAGGAATTTCCAAATGATATTTACGGAGGAAAATTTAATTTGCGTCCCCATGGACGCACACTTAGAGTATTTGAGGGTCCTAGGTTACTATTTTTGCGTCAAGGACGCAGGAAATGTGCGTCAATAGAAACCGGGCTCTGACCGCTATGGGTTCAAATCCTGCCAGGGACTTTGGATTATTTCATCTTCAAAAACACTGTTGGTTCTACAATCAGTAAAGCTGAAAAGTCGCCATATGACAGCTGTGTTAGTTCCACCAAAAATCCAATGTAAAAAAATCACCAAAGTTAGTAACAGTGTAATTTTCAATTGCGTTCTGACTAGAAACCTCTAAAAACATGTAAAGTTGATTATAATGTCGCCCAACAGAAACAATATTATAAGTATTTTCATAGACAATGTATTCAAATTTGGAACTGCATGTTAAACAGGTCTGACCACCCACAGTATCATATTATAAATGTATCATTGCTGCAATTTTGCAGGTCACTTTTGGTGCATTAAGTATTCCAATGGTGATATTGATACATCAAATGTACCTGTACCTGTAAATGATGCAGTCAATTGAATTAATTTAAATTTGACAGTTAAATTATAAACATCTAGGGTAAAAATAGTTGTGCACCTAAATTTATTCTAAACATTTGAATAACAACAATTTTACAACATTCAGCCCTCAAAATACTGCATTTGGATATAATTTTCCTTTTTTGCCTCATATGTTCAACTTTTATATCTATAGAGCTTTATTCATTTTACGCAATCTGGCTGAATAAAATATTATTCTACTCTCGAACACAAAGTAAACATGTAATCTAGGCAAGATAAACTAATGGGATTTAAAATGCAAATTACAGGTAGCCTGTTTATTTGGTTATCAATCAAAAAGTTTTTCACTTTTCCCCTCTGTGCATACATAAAACGGTGAAATCAGTTTCTCAATGTACAATAGACTTGATATTCTAAATATATGCTGGTGGTTAATGATTTTCAAATAATGAGCATACTTTAATTGATACAAATCATTTGAGCCATGTCACGACAAAACCAACATAATGGGTTTGCGACCAGCATGGATCCATCCAGCCTGCGCATCCGCGCAGTCTGATCAGGATCCATGCTGTTCGCTATCGGTTTCTTGATTTGTCATAGAGTTTGTAAGCGAACAGCATTGATCCTGATCAGACTGCGCGGATGCGCAGGCTGGTCTGGATCCATGCTGGTCGCAAACCCATTATGTTGGTTTTGTCGTGACGCGGCTCATTTATTATACCTCGATTTAAGCTGATTGACATATCTGTATGGGTAGTTGTTTTGGAAAGTCAATTTTAAAGTAAAATTGACCAAACTGCAGAAAAGTCATCATTCTAGATAGAGTATTCCTAAGTAAAGGCAAACAATTAATTAACCTGAACACCTTTATTTTTAATGTATTGAATTTGAAAGATGACCCAAGTTGGCTCCTAAATCTAAAGGACCTTCACCTTTAAGGTTACTTAAAAAAAAAAATTGGAATATTTTATCACTTGGGAAGGTGCCATTTTGAGTTACGAACAAATCCTAGGCTTTTCTTTATCTAAACCTCATATGCATGCACTAAGTATCTAAAAAAAAAAACGTAAATATCAATATTGCATAACAATATTGTGTGTCGTGATCTGAGTATACCTTTAAAGCATATTAAATATGTAAAACATATCAGGGGTGGGGTGCAATAAATATACTTCAAGGTACACTAAATCTTAACATTCTAGATATTTGTTTATATTATATCACCTATAATATTTGTTTATATTATATCACCTATTATTTGGTCTTCTGTCTATATATATACACATGTAGTAAATAAGTTTAACATTCATTAATAAATTGATTTATAAAAAGAACAAGAGCCATGTCAACATGGCCATCCCCCGCCGAATGTGTTTGCTCATTGGAAGAATGTATATGTAGTAGAGCAGAATAATTCCATTTTAAGAGGTCTTTTGGTAATGAAAACTGATGGCTATAGTGATTACAGATTTGAAACCTATGTGAATACTGATGGCTGAAAATAACAAAGGGCAATAACTCAAAAATAATGCAGGGTAGGCTTAATTATATCTTATGGCTGACTAAATTTAAACTTTCATCCTGATAT